ATATTTTTCAAGCTTGCCCGGTGTGGATATACACTCAGAGTAACATCACAAGCATCATATTCACCTGAGTACATTACACCAACACAGAAAAAATCATGTTATATCAAGTGTTTTGCAAATGCCTATTTAGTGTACGGGCATAAACACCTTTTTTTATCGATGTGATTTGCCGAGCTAATCAAAACCTATCATCGCCTCATCGGAATTTTGCGCGTAATATCACACAATGACACATACAAAGTTCAGTTGAGCCTACGTATAAACATCAGCGGATGATTTTCATCCTAAAACGTTATGTAACCACAATAAACGAAACACATTAAACGAGGTTGCAATCATTTGGTCGAAGGATTGTGTGCGTGACATTCTTTATACTGCATCCACAAAATTTTGTATTTTTCTTTATTTTATTTTACGTTTTCTGCTAATGGACATGACAATAATAGTTATTTAGCTGTTGTTTTGTACGGTAATGTTGTATGTGTAAATGACTAAATGTTTAAAATAAATTTCCTTGCGAGTGTTTGCGCGAATGGCTCAAGGAGAGTCCCGAAGCTTTTCAGAAGTTGCAGTGCATTCTCTGCTGGCGAACAAATTCAAAAGGATGTGTATGTAAGTGATAAATTGTTCAGGTTAGGGGAGATTTTAGGAAGTATTTTTTAGCAAAGAAGGAAGATCGTGAGCTGCCAGGCCTGGTGCTATAAAATTACTAATTATTGATTATGAATGGTAGTATGAGAGGAATGATTAAAGTTGGGTCCAATCCGTTTTGTTCAATTGATGTGTTTGTCTACATCGTTTTATATATATATATATATATATAATAATGAAATAAAATACACATTAATAATGATAATGAATACAAATGAACACTTTAACACTGCATAACTCGCGCTCTGAGTGTTCAAACATTGTACAATTTCGGTATAGACTGATTTGAGTTTGAAGATTTTAATTCTAATTTCAAAATGAAGATGATAAATCGATAATGCCGTCGGATGTTGATTGTATGCATGATTGCAAGGTGGCCATGTTAATTGGTGATGCATTAGGAAGAGATATTTAAAAAATCCCATTAGTTCTATTTAAAGGCATGTTTATATTGTTGCCTGGAAATGAGCCAAGGGCATTAGACCCTTCCAGAAAGTATCCATACCTCTGAGAGAAAATGCAAGTTTTATCCCTGCCTGCCTACCCCTACACTTACCTTTACCACAAACAAATTTTTATCCCCTCCCTCTCTGGACAGCAGAAATGTTCCTCCATGGGGAGTGTGGATCCACTAATTCCCTTATCAAACCATTTTCTATTTATTTCGAATGAGGGGTGCATTCGAGGGGTAAATACTCTGAAAATTACTCTGAAAATCTTCGTACACTTCATCAAAATTCAAAAAAAATTTTTGGAAAAATCCCAAAATCTCACTAAATCCCAGAATCCCAAAATCCCAAGAAATCTCTAAAAATTGCATAAAATACTTGGGAAAAACCAAATAAAATCCTCAAAATTATTGCAATATTGGGAAATCCTATCAAATTTAAACATTTAAATTGTGAATTGGTGTGAAAATGCCCTTCGTTGATTTATTTCGTTTTAAAAGAATTCAACGGATTACTATGTTGCAAAAAATTTCGGAAAAAGTTTGGTGAAAAAAAATAAGGGAAAATATTTCGAAAAAATCAGCTGAAAAAATCCCTTAAATTTGTGGAAAAAAATCCCAGAATCCCGAGGAAAATTGCCGGGATTTTCTAATCCCAAAAATCTTTGTACGCTTTTTTCAGAGTAATTTACCCCTCGGGTGCATTGACACACACTGGTTCATTTCAGGATTACGAAGATACCAAAGCTGGCTTATCATTGACGGACACATTTGGTCGCAAGCACACATATTTGAGAATATCTCTCAATGAAATTTGTAACTTAAGATGTGAGTAATGTCCGTAAGTCGTTTACTGGGTAGGTTGGTATGGTTGATCACGCTGTCATCTGTGGAATTTTTAACACATGCTTATTACTATTTTTACCCAATAATTATATACACATAGATTTTTATCAGTAAATTATCACTAAAAATAGATGTTCATTCTTTTCTTCCTTCCTTGCTGTTTCATGTCACTTCGTATAATGAACCTTGGGGTGTTACATACACCTTGGGGTATTCCATGTATGCAACCGGGGGGAGTCAAAGTTTTCATGTATGCCTATTGTATAAATGATGTCATTTCTATATTCTTTGTGTACAAGGGGGAGAGGGAAGGTTTAATTTGTTTTTGCATACCCGGTACATACTAAATGCACATGCCCCCATTATAACTATCTAGGCCAGTATTGTATGCCCGCAGAGGGAGTTCCACTAACACCAAGAGACCAACTTCTCACAACAGATGAAGTCATCCGTTTAAGTAAACTGTTTGTAAATGAAGGAGTGCAGAAGATTCGTCTTACTGGCGGTGAACCCATGCTGCGGAAAGATATTGTCACTATTTGTGGTGAGCTTTTTATGCTTTAAAACACTCCGGGCAAATGGACATGCGATTGTTAGTCAGTTGGAGGCATAGCCACAAGGGAATGGAGGTCTGTACCCCCCTCCCCTCACTGTTCTTCAGTACCGATTTTGCAGTTTTTTCAAGATTGAGGAGAAACTGGGTGGGTGTAACCTCATTATGTTTTTTATCTATAACGTAAAATATATCAAATATGTGGCTTTCAGATTTTCATAAAAAATGCATGAAATAGCATTTTGCAGACCCAAAAAATAGAAACATTTTTGCACACATAAGGGGCTGCATGTGTCTGTCAGTCCGCTAATCAGTGAGGTAGTCAGTTCAGTGAGTTGGATGAATGGTCAGTGAGCATTTGGACCAGACAGGCAGATGATGTAGCATACATTTTATTCTACAGAAAGACTTCATGAGTTGCCAAACTTACAAGATATCGCTATGACAACAAATGGTGTGACATTATCAAGAGTTCTTCCAGACTTGCAAAAGGCTGGATTAAACCTGCTCAATATCAGCCTTGACACGTTGATACCTCAGAAATTTGAGTTCATCACCAGAAGAAAACACACAGGTAAATGTATTGAATACTTCGTGTAGAAATAATAATAAAATCTTTATATGCTTGGCAATGTATTCAGGCTTGTAAGCAGCATTTTTTCACAAGGGGGGGCACTAATACCTATGTGTTGAAATAAATGCCAAAAATGTTAATGCATTTAAAGTCATATCAATTAGATGCCATTTGGATTAACAATTTATAATAATATTATAAAATTAGTAAGTTAAATTATCCCCCCTCACTGCATGCAGCCCTAACAGTAGAAAAGAGAGATATTTGAGTTTTGTTCTGCCAAGCAATGGAGATTTCCCCTGTATCAACACTGATTATTTTCACATTGTTTGAACCAGGGTGGTCCAAAGTGATGAAGTCTATAGACCTAGCTGTTAGCCTGGGCTTCAGTCCGCTGAAGGTAATTTGCTTTAGCATGTGATCAAGATCGAAGGTTTTTCTGACATCACAATTGTCCAATTTGCAACTATGGACCTATTTTTTTCCAGATAAATTGTGTTGTGATGAAAGGTTTAAATGATGATGAGATTTGTGATTTTGTTGAATTCACAAGAAATGTGGTATGTAATTATTACTTTAATAATCCTGTTTTATTGCTTTGGCATGCTAGTTGTGGACATAGAGTATGATAAAATTCATTTTGTTTTTTATGTTTCAGCCAGTGGATGTCAGGTTCATTGAATACATGCCTTTTGATGGTAAGATGCTAAATTGTAAAGATCAGAAGCAGACCAGAAACCAGAGTTGGTTAAATTTATATTAATTTATATTAATTTCTTAGGCAATAAATGGAATTTTCAAAAGTTTGTTTCGTATCAAGAAATGCTCAACACTATCAGAGAGAAATGGCCAGATTTGGGAAGACTTTGTGACCATGCCAATGACACATCCAAGGTTTGTTTTGAACTAAACTTTGTTTTAGGAAATCCATATCTAATGTATTGTCCATATGTCTTGTCTTGACAGTCCTGTGTCAGTGCAGGTCGTGGCAATAATAAGAAAGCTTTGCATTGATAGGGATACAACTACCTGAAAAATACAAGCACAACTTTGACATTTTGAGTGAAGTCTCTTTGTTGAAACGTCGACATTCTCCTTTTATTTTTCAGGTAGTTTATCCCTATTAATCCAAAGCTATCTCCATATGTTTTAATCTATTTATATTGTATTATTTTCTGTGATCATCAAACTGTTTGAATGGTGTGTAATTGCAGGCGTACAAAATTCCTGGCTTTTCTGGGCAGCTTGGGTTCGTCACGTCAATGAGTGAACATTTTTGTGGCAGTTGTAATAGATTACGGATCACAGCTGATGGAAATCTCAAGGTGAAACAATTGTTCTACGAGATGTATTTTCATATCGTGTATTTTCTATAAACCGCCGCCCTGGATGAGTACTAAATTTTGGAGTGGAGAAGGTGTCACCAGTTGGTAGAGATTTCAAAATTTCACTTAGTGAAAAATCGCTATATATATATTTACTGAGATAAATTTCACTCGTGTGATATCGCATGAAGCTATAGCTGGCTCGCATTTTTATTGCAGGTTTGTTTATTTGGCAATGCTGAAGTGAGTTTACGTGACTTGCTAAGATCAGGTGCAAGTGAAGACGAGCTTGTTGACGTTATTTCAGCAGCCGTTCAACGCAAGAAGAAGCAACATGCGGGTGTGTTCATTTTTTTCTATCTTTTCCTTTGTCAAAGCACTTTTCATTCACAAGTTAAATTGTCTGGAGTTTGACGGAGTAATATACCAAAGTGAATATCAGTCAGCATCATTGGGGAAAAATTACGCATTGGATCGATACTTCATACCAAAGCATTTTCCTTCGCTTCTTTGAGGCAGATTTACACTACACAATTTTTGCCTGAAACTGTCGCATGCAAACTGCTTACAACTTGAGTTGCACTGTGTAAATCAAGCACACAACTCACCTACGTCTACGTGACAACGTAATTAAGTGAGTCGTGTGCTTGATCATAGCTGGTCTATTAAGATATGACTGTCTGGAAGCTCGGCAAACTTCAAAGCCACAAAATAGAAGACCTTTGTGCACAAATCCTTTGTCTTAACTTCATTAAATATTATTCATTGTGGCTGCACATTTCATCTCAGCTATTACTTCATTATCTAAAATACAATGAGCTCAATCACTGTGACCGCGCACAAATTAACATAAACTCGGACAAAAACATATAACAAACATTTGTGTTTAGTTTCCATACCACAACTCAAGTTGTAAACTGGTTGCATGGACAGTTTTAGGCAAAAGTTAACAGTGTGACTTTTAACATTCCTCAGGCATTTTGCGGTAGTTAATTTTTGGACTTCTTTTCTTGAATCCAGGCATGTTCAACATCGCAAAACAGAAAAACCGTCCCATGATTCTCATTGGTGGGTAAATACATAGTAGGTAATCGCTCGCTTGTTTTATACACAAATCCCAAGTCAACTTCAGGTTCGAACTCAAAGCAGTAAGGTGGTCTCTTTTTATTGATCTTTTCCAGGTCCTGTACAAAGCAATATATCCAAATTCAAATTTCAATACCCATCGCATGCCCAATATGTGATGAATTACCCAAAATTATCCCTTTCTCATATCCTGGACATGCTATATCACCAAACACGCGAAGATACAGGTAAATCTGGCAATTCGCAAATATATACTACGGGTAACGTGCCATCTATAAAGTCAACCGACCATTTTAGAGTAAATCCTATTGACTGTCCCCAAATAAACAGCTTCGCAAATACTATGATAGATTTTCGTCAGGGAAAAGAGCCTTCAAAACAACTAAATGATTTTGAAGAGAATTCACATAATAGCTATTTTATGACTGTAAATAACACTTGTTCAAAAGTTGATGGTCTTAGCAGAAAACAGCGTGGTAGTTTCAGCTTCATGCCGTTTGAAAAGCCACTAAAGAAACCTAAATGTTTTGAACAGTTTTCATATCGATGTTTCACAACGACTGTAAATACTAGCACAAATAACGAAAAGCCAACTGCAGAAATGTCTTTCCAAAATGATGAAATTGGTGAAGGTTTAACACACGTCAACAAGGAAGGCAAAGCAAACATGGTTGATGTCGAAAGCAAAATGAACACGCTTCGTTACAGCGTTGCTACAGCGAGGGTGAAACTGGGTGAGAAGGCATTTCAATTGGTTAAAGACAACAAAATGAAAAAAGGAGATGTCGTGAACGTTGCAAAGCTTGCCGGAATTATGGCGGCGAAGCAGACAGCCAACTTAATTCCACTTTGTCATAATATTCCTTTGATCAGTATTAATGTTGATTTGGAGTTCGAAGAAGCGACACACAGCCTGGTTATTGAAGGAAAAGTGAAGTGTTTTGGAAAAACTGGTGTTGAAATGGAAGCACTGACCTCGGTCAGTGTGGCAGCTCTGACTGTCTATGACATGTGTAAGGCTGTGTCCGAGGATATAGTTATTACGGATATACAACTGATGGAAAAAGACGGCGGAAAGTCGGGTTATTTTGTGCGCAATCCTGGTGAACTCTGAGACTTCGTATAAGACTGCATGAATTCCAAAAACCAGATTGGCGGATTCTAATTTGATTTCGGGGATACGAGACGAATAACAGAGGAGGAATTTAAGTGCGACTGGCCGAACGAATTCCCGTGTGAAGAAATGAACGTACCAATACACACTTCCTGAAAATACTTAGCTCGTATTGAAACATTTTAATTTAGTGTTTTTTGAATGATCTTGTACCAGTGTAGGTCGTGGCAATGATAAGAAAGATTTGGACTGATAGGGATACAACGACCTGAAAAATACAAGGAGAACTTCGTCCTTTTATTCTTCAGGTAGTTCCATCCCTATCAATCTCATGATGAATTTAGAACCCAATATCTTGTTACTGATAACATAAATAGCCAAAGTTATAGCCAGGATTTTTGGTCGGGGGGGGGGCAGCAAAAACCTAGGTGGGGCCAGGATTTACTTATTTTTATAGAATGAATTTTCCCAGTGGGAGCCAAAATTTTATCAGGGGGGCCGAGCCCCCCCTTGGCTACGCCTCTGTAAATAGCTCTTTTGTATTCACAGGTACAACTGTATGATTTCGTAAATATATCACCTGTAACAAGCTGTGAACCCAATATCACGAAAACGAGGCTCTCTAGCCAAAACAACATTTGCGTGCCCTTACGAAGTCATTTTGTTGTTTTAAATTTAACCTTTTCAAGTATTTTGTTGTTCCGTGATTTTAGGAGTAGATTTTATTAGACTTTATCTCATGACTGTATATAACACTTGACAGTAAGTACAAGCTATTGATAGTGGCCCTCTGTATATATATAATAAGCTAAAAATACAATACTAAATATTCTAACACCACAAAATTCTAATACTATTATTATGATCCCTCACCCACTGAAAAACCCCTAACAAGGAATCGAATCTGATATATAAGTATTATAAATAATCTCCAATAATTAAACTTTTAAAAAAAACGGAAACTAGTTTGTTAGCGTCACTTAATTATGTCATTTTTTCATAATTCTTGGCTATTATTAATTGTTGTTAACGCCAAAACAAACATTATTATTTGCAAATGCTTAAAGTTCCCTATTGGCATGTCATTGATGTTTAATGGCCTTTAAACAAACGTTTGTCGAACATCATGAAACAATGTCGAAATAATTTGTTCAACTTCTTATTTTATATATCTTTTTGATAACTTCTTAATTTTAACCAAATTTAAAATTATTCTTTAGAATACATGCTAAAACAGTACAGAACGTTGTTTGAAATTGTTGGATTGTTTGTGCCAGCAATGTTAGGTCTGTTTAAACATGTCTTCAATACCCCCTTGTTAGTGTTGATTTTTGGATCAACATCAGATAAAGCTAGATAAGAATAAATGATATCTCTATGTGCCTCAGAACTGTCTTCATAGCAACGCATATCATAACGCCTTCCTCTGTGTTTTACTAAAAACATCTTTGAGAGACTTTTTCAGTTTCAAGTGAGTGGAAATGCGAGAAATAGTTCATATCCAAGCTGGACAATGCGGGAACCAAATGGGAGCCAAGGTGAAGGTTTTGATTGCTTTGTATCTGGGTGTTTTGACTTTTTTAACACATTGCTTCAAGGGGGCTGGTTTAAACTGTTTTCCCTATAAGGCAAGAAATGACCATCCCATACTTAGTCCAGTATTACTACAGGAGGAATCCTAAACTAAAATGACTTTACTGGATAGCTCTATCAGTTCTAAACTGTCCAGTAAGGATCATTCTTTATTGATCCAGTGTTACTACATGAGGAAAACTAAATGAACTCTATCTTTCCTTTATTTTGTGTAGTTCTGGGAAGTAATTTCAGATGAACATGGGATAGATCCAACTGGAACATACCATGGAGATTCTGATTTACAATTAGAACGGATTAATGTCTATTACAACGAAGTAACAGGTCCGTTATATACCGATTTTTCATTGTGAGATGTATAAAATAAAGCATATCTCAAACGTGGTGGTCGAGTGTAGGTAGTATTCTACAATAAGCTGCCGTGGTTTGTGTCTGGACTATCTGAAAAAGATATCAAACGTAGTGGTGCAGTGTAGGTAGTCTACAATAAGCTGTCGTGGTTTGTAATTGTGGTAGGTCAGACGCCACAAACTCTATTGAGCCTTAATGTTTGCCTTTACAGGGGGTCGGTATGTTCCTCGCGCGGTTCTCATTGACTTGGAGCCTGGGACTATGGACTCAGTTCGTTCCGGACCGTTTGGACAAATCTTCCGTCCTGACAACTTTGTTTTCGGTAGGTACATTGATAGAATTGCTGATTTATTGATTTCTTCATTGATTTATCCATTCATTAATCCATCATTTGAGTATATGATTATTGATTGACTATTAAGTATTAATGAAACTAAGGCTACGTTTACAGTACACTGTACTGCAAGATAGCTTTCCGTAGCGACGTGAAAAAAACTATCCGTACCTTTTAGGAACGCTATTTTCAGAAGAATTATTGCAACGGAGAGATGTTGTTTTGTTCAGCTTCTGAAAGTTGTACATTCCGTATTGGATAGGTGCTTTTTCGCGCCGCTACGGAAAGTTATCCGATATAGTGTCAACGTACAGTGTCCTTATTTACCAGACGAACTGTTTCCGTACGCGGGGACCGTACGAGCTAGATATTGATATGGCACCATGTAAGCAACCGAGAGTCACCTTAAATCGTTACCAATCCCTTGTAGGTCAAAGTGGTGCGGGGAATAACTGGGCGAAAGGCCATTACACAGAAGGCGCTGAGATAGTTGACTCTGTTTTGGACGTACTACGCAAAGAAGCTGAAGGCTGTGACTGCGTTCAAGGCTTTCAATTATTACATTCGCTTGGCGGCGGTACGGGATCTGGCCTCGGAACTTTGATCATTACGAAAATCCGGGAAGAATACCCCGACCGAATAATGAGCACTTATAGTGTGGTGCCCTCCCCCAAGGTTTCAGATACGGTCGTAGAACCGTACAATGCGACCCTTTCTGTTCATCAGCTGGTGGAGAATACTGATGAGTCATTCTGTTTTGATAACGAGGCTCTCTATGATATATGCTTTAGAACGCTGAAATTGACTACTCCGACATATGGAGACCTTAATCATCTCGTATCGGCCACCATGAGTGGCGTCACGACTTGTTTACGTTTTCCAGGGCAGGTACGTGCAAGTAGTATGTTCTCACTTGAGTGCTTGCAACACGTGCATGTGCGTTTCACCTCAGGGGTTTGATTTCTACAATTTCCAGTTGTTTGTTTATAATTTAACCTCAGTCACATGTGAAGAGAGTGCTTTCAGTTTAAAGTGCGACTAACCCCAAATATAATTTTTGGTATGTGTAATATATTTTTGGGTCATTCTGAGAAGAAATGTAATGTATCTCTATAGTAAAAAACCTCATCTTGATCAACTTTTTTACTGTCAAAGATTCCGGATATGATGTCATTAGGTGAATTTTTGGTACAAAAAACAAAGGAAAACTAATTTGCAATTCACCTAATGACATCGTATCCGCAAATTTTGACAGTGAAAAAGTTGATCAAGATGGGATTTTTTATTAGAAAGATATTATACATTTCGTCTTCGGATGAGCCAAATAATCACATACCAAAAATCATATTAGTGGTTAGTCGCAATTTAATCCCAGCAATACTTGCAGGTTTACTCTCGTTACTCCTCCTGTAATAACACTCGACCAGTGATCCCTACATGAGAGTTCAGAAAGAACTGATAGAGCTATCCGGTATAGGGATGTTAGTTTAGTTTAGGTTTCCTCGGTATTCCTGCTGTAGTAACACTGAACCAGTGATCCCTACAGGACAGTTCAGAAAGAACTGATAGAACTATCCAGTATAAGGATGTTAGTTTAGTTTAGGTTTCCTTGGTATTCCTTCTGTAGTAACACTTGACCAATGATCCCTACATGACAATTAAGAAAGAACTGATAGAACTATCCAGTATAGGGATGTTAGTTTAGTTTAGGTTTCCTTGGTATTTCTGCTGTAGTAACACTTGACCAGTGGGAGATGGCCTTTACAAAACAACAGAACAACTACACGACTAGGGAGAACTGTTTTGAACTGGATAAAGTTTAGTTATTTGTACATTTTATTTTGTAGTTAAACTCAGACCTACGCAAGCTAGCAGTAAACATGGTTCCATTTCCACGACTACATTTCTTCATGCCAGGTTTTGCTCCGCTTACAAGCCGTGGTTCTCAGCAATATCGCGCCTTGACAGTACCTGAGCTCACGCAGCAAGTTTTCGACGCGAAGAACATGATGGCTGCCTGTGATCCCCGCCATGGACGCTACCTCACGTCCGCTGTGATGTTCCGAGGACGCATGTCCATGAAAGAAGTCGACGAACAAATGCTGAATGTCCAGAATAAAAACAGTTCATATTTTGTCGAGTGGATTCCCAACAATATAAAGACCGCTGTATGTGATATCCCACCTCGCGGGCTCAAGATGTCTGCTACATTTATTGGTATGTGAAATAGTGAATGTATCAATATATAGACTGATTCGAAAGATAGATGTCCATAGGTGGGTTTCAATAAGAATTTCGGGCATCTACACTCGAAAAGGTTTTGTAGTGTGAGTGAGAATTTTTATACATTTATTTAGACCTGACCAGGACAGTTGTGAAAAATCTAACTATAGGCACTCTGCCAGGAATCGAACGTGCAGCCCTGTGATTCCAGTGCAGAGTGCCCTAACCAACTGAGCTACAGAGGCCAGTTGTCGAGCTCTAACCACAAGTTCATGTTTTTATATACTACAGTGATGCCAATGTAATGTGAACTTTATGCTACAGACCACAGTGATGCCAATGAAATTTCTCCATTACCAGGTAACAATACGTCCATTCAAGAATTGTTCAAAAGAGTGAGCGAGCAGTTTACCGCCATGTTTCGTCGCAAGGCTTTCTTACATTGGTACACAGGGGAAGGAATGGACGAAATGGAATTTACGGAGGTATGAGGACATTCAGGAGTTTCATTTTAATTTAAGAACCTTCATCCTTGACATCTATCCTTGATCGCGATTTGCAATCTTGCTACGATTAGTAATTGTGATCATTATTCATTATTTACAATATATAATTTGCAAAAGATGGTGCCATAGTGTTTAGTGCATGCGTTAAGTCGTTTGCGACATACTTAGCCTAGGTTATTTTATCTTTACAACAATTGTGATATTACTTTCTTAACTGTGTTTATCCTAACCCACCCTGTCAACTTTCCCTGTGGGAGAAAACCAGAGCACCCGGAGAAAACCCACGACTTTCGGCAGAGCGTTGACTCACTCTTTTCACATGAGTCCGTAGCGAAAATCGAACCCAGGACCTCAGAGGTGAATTAAGATTCTTGCTCTGACGACTGAAGCCCCAGCACAGATTAAGTAAGGATTAGGTATATACTTCACCTGTGACCCCAGCACAGATTAAGTAAGGATTAGGTATATACTTCACCTGTGGCCCCAGCACAGATTAAGTAAGGATTAGGTATATATTTCACCTGTGGCCCCAGCACAGATTAAGTAAGGATTAGGTATATACTTCACCTGTGGCCCCAGCACAAATTAAGTAAGGATTAGGTATATACTTCACCTGTGGCCCCACCACAGATTAAGTAAGGATTAGGTATATACTTCACCTGTGGCCCCACCACAGATTAAGTAAGGATTAGGTATATACTTCACCTGTGGCCCCACCACAGATTAAGTAAGGATTAGGTATATATTTCACCTGTGGCCCCAGCACAGATTAAGTAAGGATTAGGTATATATTTCACCTGTGGCCCCAGCACAGATTAAGTAAGGATTAGGTATATATTTCACCTGTGGCCCCAGCACAGATTAAGTAAGGATTAGGTATATACTTCACCTGTGGCCCCAGCACAGATTAAGTAAGGATTAGGTATATATTTCACCTGTGACCCCAGCACAGATTAAGTAAGGATTAGGTATATACTTCACCTGTGGCCCCACCACAGATTAAGTAAGGATTAGGTATATACTTCACCTGTGACCCCAGCACAGATTAAGTAAGGATTAGGTATATACTTCACCTGTGGCCCCACGGGAAATGAACGGTGTTGTGTTTTCAGGCGGAGTCGAACATGAATGATTTGGTGTCGGAGTACCAGCAATACCAGGATGCAACAGTGGACGAGGTAGGAGAATATGACGAGGAGGAGGAAGGCGAGGAGGCTTGATGACGTCACGCCTGATGACGTCATGTAGGATTGTTATACAATGGATTTGTTTTTATTTAGTATACCTGAATGTAGTATTTGCTAACGGTTTCATTGGAAAGAACATTAAAGAGCTTTACAGTTGATTACGATAATGACTTGAGACAATTCCGGCCGATATTACAAAGTTATTGCACATTGACAAAACAACCTTTGTCTCCCCCTCTCCCCCAGTTCAATGTTGTGAACAACGCCGAAACAACTTTTGGTAATTTATCATGACACAAGCTCAACAGACAACATTGAGTTGGGGGACGCAACATAATTCAACATGGAATTTATCATGTGAATTTTGTATAGAGGGAAAGATAAAGTTTCAACCAGTTTTGTCCAACATTGAAGATTCGTTATTTGTGTGTCAGTCAAGCTGACAAGTAGTGGCAAAAATGGCGTTACTGGAGCACAAATGACAAATCTGTAATTTTGTGTCCATAATTGTTCTCGTAGTCTCGCTATTCAAAGCTCTAGAATAACTACTTTTCAAAGATTTTGCTTTGTTTTTAATTTCTTACAGTTTGTTTAAAATTTTACCAGAAAAATTGAATACATTTTATCAACTGAAAACTCTGAAAATTGTCCTCTTTTGGTCAATGTAACGCATTGCTATTGTTGCAGGCATCGTATGTTTTTCAATTGCTATCGATGGACCTGTTTCATTTATATGTTGCTCTGTTGCTGTCATTTGACTCCATGGTGACATAAATCTAGCTTGACATGAAGCAAGATCAAATTTCAAAGTTAATCTTCATCTCATGATCTCTATGCTAACATTTCATTTATCATACACGCATAACTGAATTTCACATTGACAAGATTATGTCTCTGGCGACAAAATATGTTTTGGGAGAGCTTTGTACATCAACAAGCTAGTTATTTAGGCTATGGGCAACTTATTTACTTGGAAAAATAGAAAGTTTATGTTTTGTAAAGTACAAAGCAGACGGTTCGCGTGACAACATATTAACATATATTGTTATTCGTGTTGTGACTTAATTCCATGTGTATCTTGTGAGCATTTTTTAAATTAGATTAATGAAGTCGCTTATTGAGTGTATTCAGAAATGAAGACAAGACTGGTCAATGTTTCGTTATGGTTTTGGTTTGCAGTAATACGATTTGGGGATTCGGTCGGGACTGGTGAGTTATTTAGACTATGTTTGAGATGATATTACAACAGTGGGGTTAATTTAATTTTTTAAATTTTAGATTATTACTTGTAATGTACATAAGCAAAGTGTGGAGATGAACCGCTTGGGATATTCCGTAATTAATTTTGAGAAGTGATTGCACTCGGACAGCCAAAGTTGCCATTTTCTCACACATTGTTGATGACAACAAACTATACTAGAATTTCTGCCTGCTTCAGGCACTTCTCAATATAGACAACGTGTTGTTGAAGATATAGGTCATATAGCGGTCTTGACGGCATGAGATTTCCCCAAGTCAAGGACATTCTCCTCCGCAGTTTTATATTGAAACTTGGAAAACTAAGGGCGTTCAGAAAGCGGCCAATATCACAGCCCCCGCTCGCGGTTTTGTTTGATCGTATTTCGGTCTGCATTAGATCTCCATTATATGGCTATGTGTTTCCAAAGAGGTCATGCCACTTGACACAATCTTGGCTGCAATTTCTGACACAGAGCCACCTGCCATAAAAATAAAATAAAAATGTTTCTGCTTTACAGAAGAATGAATATCACTAAGTCACGTTTCATTGCATAGAAAAGTAAATGAACGAAAATAAAAAGTATTCGCGGGGCCCTGGTATTAGCAAAGTAAAACGTGCGCACGCTTGCGATTTTTCTGTGAGCATTTTTCTTCATAACATGGCTACTATTACCTTTGCAAATTTCATACTTAACATATTTAGTCAGCCAAAGTTGGCCTTGGAGAGGAAGGGGCCCTTTCGGTGTAAATAAAGTACAAAACAAAAACCAAACAATGAAAACACCTTCACAAATATGGCCTTTAACAACACATAAATTTTAAAACATGCATGCATGATAAACCATTTAAAATTTGCATCTTGTTTTAGTCTGTACACAATACCAGATAGCTTTCCGTAGTAGTGCGAAAAAGCACCTATCCAATACGGAATGTACAACTTTCAGAAGCTGAGCGAAATAACATCTCTCCGTTGCAATAATAGCGTTCCTAAAAGTAAGGGATAGGTGTTTTTCACGTGGCTATGGAAAGCAATTCAGTACAGTGTAAAAGTAGTCTTAGTCCTTCTGGAATAGACAACTTGCATGTTAGACAAATTTTTTATCTAGCCGTTCTAGGCAAAAAAAAAAGTAAATTCCCGTTAAGAACTTATTAAAATTAGTAAACTTGCAAAATTTGGTTGCGAAATGTTGTAAAGCTTGGAAAATATAGCTTTGCAAAGTTTGCATATTTTCAGTATATTTGTATTACGTGCGGAAATTGTTACCATTTTTGAGCCGAAAATGGTAACAATTTCCGCACGTAATACAAATATACTGAAAATATGCAAACTTTGCAAGGCTATATTTTCCAAGCTTTACAACATTTCGCAACCAAATTCCGCACTTTCACTAATTTCAGTATGTTCTTTTTAGCTGTGGTGTTTGATTCCCTTTTCTCTGCTTAGATTAAAATTTAGTCTAACATGCAAGTTGTCCATTAAACTTTTAATTCTTGTATTCACATATAGGTAGCCGACAGTTTGTTCATGTTCACAATCCAGTCACATTAACGGTCGGTGAGTGTATCACATTTACAGCTCAACCCTCGTACCGCGCCGTGGGAAACTGGACCTGGCGTAAGGACACGATTCCACTGTCTACGTCATCACGTGTCGTCATCAGCAAGAATAGTTTGCGGATATCTGACGTCATCGTAACAGACAGTGCCTATTACTCGGCCGAGGTCAGCACTACTGAACGAAGAGAGTTGTTTCAATTTTGGATTATTGTGAAAGGTATTTCAAGGGCAATCTAAGTTGTATTTAAGATGATACTCTCGGAATGTCCAATATTTTCTCGGAAAATTTTGCTTGACCGCGCTGGGAATCGAACCCACTTTGGTTTGGTGCTCCTGGATCACGAAGAAATTGCTCTTTATACTGAATCTTTAAGCCCCGTTTACACTTGCAATTTTTGCTGTGATTTTAGGTGCGATTTTCTCCTTCTGATGGATGTGAACAAGTAGATGAGTTACAAATGTTCGGAGTAATGTACCCTCATCTGAACATTCATAACTTATCCACTCGTTCACATCCTTCAGAAGACGAAAATCGCAGCAAAAAGTTCAAGTGTAGACAAGCCTTTAAGTAGCCTGCATGGTATTTCCCAGGCTTGCCCGATTTTAGGGACCGCCTGCCATGCAGGCTAGCCTTTAAGGTCCAGACACACCGGACGCGATTCGACAACGCGACGCGATTTTTTAGTTTTTGAAAGTTAATAAAACAGCCAAAGAGAGGAAATTTTAAAAGATATGTAGACCAAATAACTCAAAATGTTATAGCGCTTCTAAATATTTGGAAAATTTTAACTAGGATCAAAGTTATCGGTCAGCGAAAATCGAAAAATCGCGTCGCGTTGTCGAATCGCGTCCGGTGTGTCTGGACCTTTAGGATGAACAGTTTAGAACAGTATATTAAGGTTGCGCAGGATTAAGAGAGACACAATTCTGCTGTAGTTCACTTGGCTTGACATGAATTCTATTCTTTGATAGAATGCGACGACTACGAGAAGAAATCTCCGTATTTTCAAGGAAAATGTGAAAGTTGGTGTGAAAGTAAGATTATTCAACTTTTTGGGGTGAAACCAGTCGCAGTGTAGGCAGTGATCTACATTTAGAGTGAAGGCTGTTTCTCAGAGGGTTACGTCACAAACTCGCCAGAGGATCCAAGCTACGTTGCGAAGAATTTTCACCAAATTATTTTTTGTCTTTAGAAAAATGCGAGCCAGGCTGGAAGCATTTTAAAGATGGCTGTTATAAATATTTTGATGAGACGAAAACTTGGGAAGATGCCTTAGACAGTTGTCAATCAATGGAAGCAAAATTGGCGGTCATCGAAGATAGCGAGGAGAACGAGTAAGCATTCAACACTTTAAATACTCCGTACTGGCGAGCAGTTTCAGGCCATGAAAGTTTCTAAGTCAGTATACGACCTGTCTACATGTAAGCTAGTATGCGCTTCGAAGCTTTCTAAGTCCGTATAGGAGCAAAGATTTTGTATGTATCTAAAAATTTCTAAGTCAGAATTTGAGTTGTTATTTGATTTCTACAGTAAGTCAACTTGCAGAGACGGATTTTCATATTTTCGTTTGGGTGGATAAATATCGGGTGCTGCTGCTTGCTTTGACCGGGGCGTGGTGGCAATGCCCGGAAAGGCCAAGGAAAAAGTTTAACAAAATCTGTTTTCTAGACCTGCATGGCGAGATCTGAGACCATAATATTGGTAATTTTACAAATTTCGTAGTAAGAATAATCAAATATGAAACTATCGAATCAAAATATATATAATTTGCGGGGGTGCAAAAACTTTTGGGGGCGGTGCCAAATGCCTCTGGGGGGGTGCAAATCATTCCTGGGGGGAAATCCGTGCCTGAAGTCAAGATTGAGTTTATTGAGTTTCTCACTCATTGGTGGGCGGATTTCCCAACAGGCTATTGCCAATTCATAGGAGATCCGAGGTACCTGCGTTTTTAACGTCCTTATCCGAGAAGACGCAAAAATCTGACCATGTCAATGTTTTGGTGAGTAGAGGTCCGAGCAAGGATTGAACCCGAGTCTCCCGGCTTGAAAGACAAGTGTCACAACATCACAAGAACTGGTTTATCATTTCTAGATTTGTGTCTTCGTTATTGGAAAGTGGCGAGGGAGGATGGATCGGATTAAATGACAGACGTACAGAATCTGAGTATATATGGAACAACGACCTACATGACGAGAATCACTACTTCTCCTGGGCAGAGAATGAGCCTAGCAATACGAATGGAAAATGTAATATTGAAAATTGTGTAGAAATGAAATATCCAAACTTGAAGTGGAATGACATGGTCTGTAATGGATATAATTCCTATGTTTGTGGGTTGGATAAGGACAGCATCAACGGTAAGAGTTACCAAAGGCATAACGCCAGAAAGCTGGAGATTGACTGGAAACGTCGACAATGGCCAGCTTTCTAGTGTCAAGATTATCAATTGAGAGTACATTTTAATATTGTTACTATTTGTTACATTAGTAAGTAATATGTATGTTGAATAGTCTATATGTATAGATAGTGTTATAAGATAGTTAAACACACGGCCTATTGGAAGATCACATTTTTCTTTTCCTTCTCTTTTATACATAATTAAATTAAATGTAAGTAGTTTGTGAAATAATACCGTGTTTAAATAAAGTTTAATAATAATAATAATAGTAATAATAATAATAATAATAATAATAATAATAATAATTTTCAATAGGAAGGGGAGGGTTTCAACTGTGTATTATGTATACACGTATAAACTGTAGGCTTTGTCTTGTTTTTCAGTGACATCGTCGTGGTCATGCTATGGTCAGAAATGTTATAAATATTTTCGTACGGCCATCATCTGGAAAGATGCAAAAGAGAGATGTGAGGAAATGGGCGGAGAGTTGGTTCGAATAACGAGTTCTGGGGTGTCTGAGTTTGTTGGCAAACTGATCTCAACTAATATATGGATTGCTCTCAATGACGTTGCGGAACCAGGTAATAGGCGAGGCTTGTTCCATACACGCGGATTTTCCGGGGGGGGGCGCAGGGTGGCGAGTTGTCCAGCTCTAACCGCAAACTGGCCTCTGTAGTCCAATTGGTTAGAGCGCTGCACCGGAAACGCCGGGGCCAGGTTCGATTCCTTAATATATATATACATGAACTTGTGGTTAGAGCTCGACAACTGGCCTCTGAAGCTCAGTTGGTTAGAGCTCGACAACTGGCCTCTGTAGCTCAGTTGGTTAGAGCTCGACAACTGGCCTCTGTAGTTCAATTGGTTAGAGCGCTGCACTCGAATCGCAGGTTTGATTCCTGCTAGGGTCGGGCGGTTTATCGATAAAACCGAAAAAAAACGATTTTTAAAAAAAACCGATTCAATCGATTTTTCTTTTGACACGAAACCGAAAAAAAACGGGGGGAAATTGGGAAAATACTTGAAACTTGCAGAAATAGCGGTCGCTTACAAACAATTCGTATTCATATTCTGTACCCTGGCTTATTTCAGATGTGTGTAACAGCGAAAATAAGACCGAAATATTCGTAATTCGCAACCGAAATGGCCGCCATGTTTTTTACCCAGTGTTTCCACTATTTTATGAAATTTCCTTTAATTAAATTTTTATAAGGAAATTTTCATTTAAAAAAACATCGGTTTTTTCTGGGGTTTTCAGACGGTTTTCAGTTTTTACCCTGAACCGCCCGACCCTAATTCCTGCCAGAGGGCTATAGTTGCATTTTTCACAACTACTCCTGGTTCGGTGTAATAAATGTAGAAAATTCTAACTCGGAATTTCCCTCCACGGAACTCTTCTGTAAATCATAAAGTTAGTTTTGTTTTAACCTGAGTCATGTAAACTTTCAACTTGAGGAACGTACGTGTGGAGAGATGCAGAAGTAGGAAAATTTTCCAACAAGGCATCGTATTTCAACTGGGATAGTGGCGAACCAAATGATAAACTTTATGAGGAACGACGCTTAGGTCACCTGTGCTCTGGGGAGGACTGTGTACGAATATCGCGCTGGAATAATAAAGTGGATTGGTACGACTCTGCGTGCACTCAGAGATTGCCTTATGTTTGTGAAAAGGCCAGAGGTAACGGACCATTTTTTGGCGGGGGGGGGTTACATTTCTTCAACAAAAGCAATTTTTGTGTGTTGTCTTTGCAAAAAATATTTGGTCTCACAGATGGATTTACTGGGGGGTGCGGGGGGTGCACCCCCTAACCCTGGCCAGAGGGGGTGCACGGGGGTGCTATTTTTCATGATAAGGGACCGGTCATTATTTATGGCGGGGGGTGGCACCGAAGAGAAAAGGGTTGGGTAAACAAAATTTTGAGTGAGAAAAAGGTTGGGTAAATGAAAAACGAAACAACTCAAAGGTTGGGTAATAAAAATTTATTGTCATTTTCAAAGCATGACTCACTCAAATATTGAAGACTGAGAACTTCAATGTCAACAGTCATATTTCAATACAATATGTGAATCAATCAGAGTCACTATCTTTATCATTTTCCGTTTTGTTGGGAGACAAATGGTGTCTCCAAAGAAAGTAAACGTACAGACAACATGAAACTTTAGACTGCAGAAAAGTCAGTAAATTTCACAAGCCGTATCACAGAAGTGTCGTATCACAGAAGTGGTAAAGGACATGTGTGACAACTGAATGGTATCCTTTTGTAACGTTTTTGGCCAGGGGTGGGTATTTATTTTTTAAATGATACTTGAGGTTGGGTAATCAAATTTTTAATTTTTTAATGGTTGGGTCAGCAAAATTTTTGGCACGAAAAACATTTCTCTTCGGTGCCACCCCCCACCATAAATAATGACCGGTCCCTAAAGCAAAAAATTATTAGAGACAAAATGAGATACAGTAATTTGAGTAATAACATGATGATAAGAGAACTGTGAACAACAATTACAATTCAAATACAGTAGTCAAGCAAGACTTTGCAGTAGTGAAGCAAGTTGATGGACGGGCGGCACACATGACCGACATAACTCGGCACCAGAGATGGCAGA